TTAATGGGTTTGTACGGATCTCTTACAAGTTTTTTATTTAAATCGTTGAAAGCAACTCAACCATATTTTTGGGATGAGAATTATTATTTGGTACGACTCTCGAAAAAGAGAGTCGTACCAAATTCTCGAGAAAGTGGTAATCAAGCCAGTTTTTTTAAAATCTTCATGACAATAAGAAGGTTGTTCTATTAGCTAATTATGAGGAACAGTGAAACATTATATATTGCCTACTTTTCGCTGCTTCCGAATTCTATTTAATCAGAATCCAGACAAATTATGAAACATAAACACCTTTTCACAGTATTTAGTACTTTAGATGCTTTGATAGCCAATTAAGCTAGTAACAAACTGGCTATTATAAAAAACTTATTTCATCCACAAACGAAAACAGCTCGAAAAACAACACAAGTAAGGGTGTTATGACTAATATCTATTTTCTCAGTATACAGCAAGATTTAGTTTTGCTTAAGATAAAATTTTGCCAGAGCAATCCAACCAAGTTTTTCGACCCGCTTTAACTCCATTCCATACATGTAGCTTATGGAAACAATTTTAAGAATGCAATTTTTGTACATTTTCCTAATTCGTTATAAAAAAATTATTATAACGAATTAGGAAAAATATTTTTTTAAAGTTTTTTTTGTGTCTTTTGAACGCCTTAAGAATCTTCAGGTAAAACTTGATGTTTTCAATTGAATGAAAAATATTTTCAAACAATTTTTTTCTACATTTTGTATCAGACTCATTCAAATTTCATACAATTTTTATGAAGTTTGTATGCCTTTCATTTTTCTTTTTGAAAACATTGTTTGAAAAATCCATTACAAAGAGTTTAAAACAAAACAACTGTAGCTTAAAACGGTTTATATCAATTTATTTTTTTTTTAATGTGAGCACTCTTCTAACAAAAACGATTTTTTTGTTTGAGCGAAAAATGAGTTAGTTTGAGCCAACCATACCTCTCCTCTTTTTTATGAAAATTGTATAATATGCTTTTGTTTCCTTACAACAAAAAACTTTCCAATCAGAAACTCCGAAACTCAAAGAAAACATTTTAGCTTTCTGTTAGTCTCAAAATCAGTTTTGTGCTCATACATACAATTTTTGAGAAAAAAAAACTTTTTGTGAGCAAGTTGGAAGTTTTTTCTATAATGCGATTCTTTTACACGAAAAAAAAATCAATCTAATTGAAGGTTTGGTGTCTTTATAAATGGTGAGATAACTTTGAATCTGTCATATAAAACAGGCGCAATTTTCATTTTTAAAGCAGAGACTTTCTAGCCATGTACAAAAATTTGATAACAGTATTTATCTGATTCTGTGTATCTTTTTTTAGTTTATCCGGCGAGCAATTATTTGCCTCAGAAAATTCATATTTTTGAAGAACAAGAGGTCGTATTTGCCTTAAATACAAATATTTAATTGGCAACTTTCCAGTGCAATTTTTAAAGGAGATTATTGCTACTTAAGTTATGGTTTATAAACAAAAAAAAATTAACAGCATGGAAAAAAGTCTCATCGGACTTTTCTATTGTATAAAAAAAATTTCAAACCTTTTTTGTTAATGGAATTGTACCGAAAGCTCTTTTTTTCACGTATGGAATTGTGTGATAACATTTGTTAACCCGGCTCAGGGATTCGACTCTTTCACAACCAAAGAGTCCCCATTCGTATTATTTTATGGCATCAATTTTCGACTAATTACCCCAAAAAAAATAATTCTAAAGGTGCCTTTGGCACCAATTTATTCTAATTTTGAAGGGGAGCGCGCGCCAAAAAAAACCGCAATGTTTTTTGTCTAGATTTTTCAAAAAAGGCCCAAAATCGTCATTTTTACTTGTTTCTTCAGCAACTTACCTGCGGTGCAAAAACATGCCAAAGCAAGGTTTTTTTTAGTGTCCTGGAAGCGCTCGGAAAATCAATTCCATCGATTTAAAAAAAAAGATCGACCAATTCTTTTTTAAATACACCCCCCTCCTCAAGAAAATTCTAGATCCGCCCCTGAGTAGTTATACACTGCGGAAAAACATTAAAAATTTTCTCTGATATGCGAAACACGACTGAAATGCTTTTAATTTGGTATTCAAATTGAACTTCTACAATTTGTGAACCATTGGCTGGAAAAAATACAATCTACGTCAAAGTTCTCAGCCATTCTTTCGAGAAGGGCCAAATCAATAACGATTCTACTCGTACAACCGGCGAAGCCATAAATCTTCCGACTGACATTAACATTTATGCAGTAAAAATTTGCTCGAAATTAGTTCAAAATTTTCAAAGCCGCAGAAAAACTTGAATGTTTTTTGGATTTCCCCTCATCATTCCTCCTACAACCTGTAATAACTTCAAGAAGCCTGATTAAATCGCTGCTAACGCGTTAGGAGAACAAAACATATCATGCCTTAAATAATTCATATTTAAATATTGGTAATTTTATAAAACTATAACAGTTATGGGCTTTGGCACCTCGAAAAATTATTGAAACATCCTTGAGGAAGACATCCTCAACAGTTGATAATTATTTTGTAGCCTCTAGCCTCTTAAACTGCTCCTGCGCACACTATTGATAGAAAACAATACGAAGACTTGTTTTTAAAAGACTCGATTTGCTCGTATTTCGAATTTGGCCAAAAATTTTGCAGTGAAATGAAAAAAAAATCATTACAATTTAATCTTGCTGACAATCAGCGCTATAAATGTGAAAAAAAGTATCGGTAACTAGTCATCGCAAAAAACTCAATACAAAAAATTGTATGCGGTTGTTTTTTTGTTCAAAAAATCAAGAACTAGAAGTCAATTTCAGATTGAGTCATATTTATGAAATATGTAATTTTGAAACCGGGTTGAAGTCACGTCGTTAATCATCGTTATTTCTGAAATTTTGTAAATGAGACGTTTTTAAATTGCGAATCAAATATTGATCCACAAAAATTTATTCATAAATCAATGACTTTTCAAAGTTAACTCAGTAATGGTTCCGCAAAAAGCATGGCCCTGAAGTTTTTGAAACTTCTTCTAAAGCTTTAAACAGCGTAACAGCGTAACGAGAATAAAAGTTCCAGTTTTTAAATTTTAAGAGCCATACTTTTCAAATAATTCATGAATAAAAAAACCTTGCAATATCAAACAATCTATACTAAATTATTCTTTCCTGTAGTAGAAGAGCCAAAGTTCTTTTGAAAAACCTGAATAAGTAGCACAAAAACTAGCTAAAACAATGTATCGCTTAAAGTTGATCCAAAACCTTGTTAAAAGCTGAAATTGTCTGAAGAAAAAAACCACCTTGAGCAAAAATTCCGTTACTTTCGTTACGAAAGTCGGAACAATAAATTATATGTATAGTAAAATATGCTGTCGTGTAATATGCAATTGTAAAGGAAATTCTCAAATTGTTGGTAGAATCTGCAAATTGCAAACAAAATCAGCAAGTTTTAAGCAAAATCAGCATATATTTGCAGATTCTACTAACATTTGCGGAATTTGCTTACATCTGGAATCCGGAACAATTAGCTATATTCGCTCGTTGCGGAAACCACAACAAAACTAATGTGCTTTCAAATTTTACCTTACAGGTGTTTGTGCGCGGCGGAATCCACGGAAATTTAGTAAGTGCAGTCCACTTATTTTTGATACATATTTAGAGACTTGTCTCAGTATTCCAGTCACCTACTAGCACCAAATTGTTCACCTATGCGGTGAACAATTCGGCTTCGTAATATAAGTATTTTTGTTCCGACTTTCGATACGAAAGTAACGGAATATTTGTGCTCGGGGTGGGTTTTTTTTCTTCAGACAAATTTCTCTAGCCATTTTTGACGGAATTTTTTCATATCATTCGAAGGATATTGTTGTCCTGAGCTCAAATTTGAAAAGATATTTCACCTGTGATCATTTTTTGTAAAGTTATGAGGGTTTAAAGATTGCCATTTGGGCCAATTTGGGACAATTAACGCGCGATATATTTCGCGTTATTAACGCGTAAGCGGAGAGTTAATCCGTCCTAGAAATCGTTCCAAATTGGTTCAAAGAAGCTTATTTGCCTTAATTGATTTGTTACAAGTAGTGAAATTTGTCCTTTTGTACTTTTTATGGCGTGTGGGGTGATGTTTTTACAAAAAATTTCAAATTTTAGAAAAAAAAGTTTCATTTTTTTTTATTACTTTTAATTTTTTAATGTTATTACTGCTTGATAAACCTTAATAGGCAGACGGAACATTCAGGGCTTCGCCCTGATACGAGCAGTCTTGTTTGATTTTTAAGTTTGTGTATATGTAAGATTGAACGATTATCAAAATGAAATACACTAATTGATAACTGGACCTCAGCTGCCATTTATTGTTCCGACTTTCGATACGAAAGTAACGGAAAATTTGTGCTCGGAGTGGGTTTTTTTTCTTCAGACAAAATTCGACTTTTTAACTAGCCATTTTTGACGGAATTTTTTTACATCATTCAAAAGGTATTGTTGTTTTGAGCTTAAATTTGAAAAGATATTTGACGAGTGATCATTTTTCGTAAAGTTATGAGGGTTTGAAGATTGCTATTTTGGCCATTTTGACCAATTTGGGACATTTAACGCGGGATATAATTCGCACTATTAACGCGTAAGCGGAGATTTAATCCGTCTTATAAATCGTTCCAAATTGGTTGAACGAAGCTTATTTGCCATAACTGATTTGTTTTAAGGAACGAAATCTATCTTTTTGTACTTAATATGGCGTGTGGGGTGATGATTTTCATAAAAAATTTCAAATTTAAAAAAAAAATTCATTTTGTTTTATTTCATTTAATTTTTTAATGTTATTACTGCTGCTCCATAAACCTTAAAAGTTAGTTGGAACATTCAGGGCTTCGCCCTGATACGAGTAGTCTTGTTTCTATTGAATCTCATTTTGCGCAAAAACTCCAAAATTCCTTTTTTCCATTCAAAGATGTTTATTTGACTTCTAAAAATTGTATGATTTTGTAGCAAAAAGACACTAGAGCAACGTCAACTTTACCTGCAGCGGCAAGATAGTACTTCAAAAGAGAGTCATCAAAAGAGCAATTGAGAATTTTTGTCAAGTACCGCGAGTACAATTTGAACTTGGGGTTTAAAAATCCGTACTTCATAGACTCCGTCTCTTTCCAGCTAAATCGAATATTGGCGGGTAAAATCGGCGACATATAAAATCCAAGTGGCTCAAAGAAGTACCAAGCTTCGGGGTTACGATTGAAGATTTCGCCGATAAACGAAGAACCTCCTCTTTTGTAGGCCAAAATTTGAATTTTAACTGTTGCTGATGAACCATAATGATCTTTATAAACTGGTTTATTGTCTGATTCTAATTTATTCATTTTTAATTGGGGATAAATTTCCTTTGTAGAATTCAAGAAATTAAATGGTAATTTATCAATCCATAAATTGTAAGATAAAGTTATGACCAACAAACAGATAAGCAGCAGTTTAAGTCCTCGCACAAAAAACAGTCTACGAGGAAACATGATTTTTTTGTCTTACTTCACAGCGGTTGAGACTTCTATTTCACTGAAGGTCAAAATCAAGGTTAACAGAACGAAAGAGTACAGAGAAAGTTGAAAGCGTTTCCAATTTTATCGCAAAAAGTAGAGTAACTCAAAAATATAAACATCTATCCAAAAAGTTGATTTTGGCCGCAAATTTAATTAGTGGTTTTAAATTTGACTTTAAAATGAGCTTCTACTGGAGGCTAAATTAATGCTAAACTATTCGCAAAAAATGTTTACCACTAAAAAAAACTAAACGCAAAAAATGAACCTATAGGTAAGAGGACGGGATATTAAAAGCAACATTCAACGTAACAAAGTCACACACTGCGTAGTCAACTTCCGTTTTGGTCTATAGAGAGTAAACGCACTGTGACAATACGCAACAGTTTCTATCTTTTTCATGGCTGAAAAAATAAACAATTAGCTTTTAAAAATCGAGACATGACTTCCTTCTTTGAATCTCTTTTAATGAACAATGAAACAGTCTTTGTAATTGTTGCAAAAAATGTTCAAGTTCCCCCGCGGTTTGAAAGGAGGAGGAGGCTCGATAAGCATTCTCTGTACTTTCATAAAACTATTTTTGGTACAACTTCTTAAAATGGAGAAAAACTCTGAATTTGGGAGTTTTTTAGTTTTTGTTTTCACAAAAATAAGGTACCACCGATAAAGTTCGGCCAAATAGATTTGAGCGGCGAGTCATGTTAAAGACTTTTTAGTGATTGATTTGATCAATACTTAAAAGACAAACAAGACTGCTCGTATCAGGGCGAAGCCCTGAATGTTCCGACTGCCATTTAAGGTTTATGGAGCAGTAATAACATTTAAAAAATTTTAAAAAATAACATTTTAGAAATAAAACAAAATGAAAAAAAATTCTAAAATTTGAAATTTTTTATGAAAATCATCCCCCCCCCCACACGCCATATAAAGTACAAAAGGATAGATTTCGCTCCTTGTAACAAACCAATTATGGCAAATAAGCTTCTTTTAAACAATTTGGAACGATTTCTAAGACGGATTAACTCTCCGCTTACGCGTTAAAAGCGCGAAATATATCGCGCGTTAATTGTCCCAAATTGGTCAAAACGGCAATGTTTAAACCCCCGTAACTTTACGAAAAATGATCACAGGTGAAATATCTTTTCAAATTTGAGCTCAGGACAAAAATACCTTTCGAATGATATTTAAAAATGCCGTCAAAAATGGCTAGTTAAAAAGTCGAAATTTGTCTGAAGAAAAAAAAAACCCACCCCGAGCACAAATATTCCGTTACTTTCGTATCGAAAGTCGGAACAATAAAAAGTTTTCTCACCAGCGGAGAACAATTTTGATTTTTAGTTCGATTAAAACCGGCAAAATTTCATTTCTAACAATAAAAAATGATCACATAAAATCACAGCATTCAATGTTCCGGTTACCTTTTTACTGGCCTGGAATAGTTTAAAGTACTTTTTTATGAAGTATAAATTTCACTCTTTGTTTGTTTTTTTTCTACCCAGCATCAAACACCCAGCAGGAAGCTTTGTGCTCTAAGTCAAATATGGAATTGATATGACCAATTAGTGTTCATTGCAATTTATAAAACTTTTGAGTGCGGGACAATTTACCATGCCTAAGAAAATTGCGTTTTCTCTTACAGCTTATGAATAAAATTAATTAATAATTCTGAAAGCTTATGAATTAATTCAAGAACATGACACGATTTTCAAATTCTTAGAAAAACACCAGAAACACTGGTTGCTGGTTGTTGGTTAACTATCTTGTTGTTCCGACTTTCTATACGAAAGTAACGGAATATTTGTGCTTCGTTGTGGGTTTTTTTTTCTTCAGATAAATTTTGACTTTTTAACTAGCCATTTTTGGCGGAATTTTTTTTAAATATCATTCGAAAGGTATTGTTGTTCTGAGCTTGTGATCATTTTTCGTAAAGATATGGGGGCTTAAAGATGGCCATTTCTGGACAATTAACGCGCGATATATTCCAAATTGGTTACAAGAAGCTTATTTGCCATAATTATTTGTTACAAGGAGCAAAATTTATTCTTTTGTACTTTATATGGCGTGTGGGGGGATAATTTTTATTAAAATATTCAAATTTTAGAAAAAAAATGTTCATTTTAATTTAATACATTTAATTTTCTTAAGTTATTACTGCTCCATAAACCTTAAAAAGCAAGCGGAACATTCAAGGTTTCGCCCTGATACGAGCAGTCTTGTTACATTTGAACTCAAGAAGTCGACAACTTTGTTGAAGTTTTTTGATTTCGATCACCAAAATTGATCTGAATAAAAACAAGACTAATAAAAATAAGGACCGCCTGTTATTTACGTTATAACAATTAAATTAGAATTAAAGTTTCGATACGGTAGAGGAACAAACAAGCATAAAAATTCTGTTTTAAAACAATTTCCTATTTTTCAAAACATATCATTAGCTTCAAATTGATAAATTTCAGGGTCTGAAATTGATATAGTTTGCATCTAAGAAATAAACTATTTGGTGACCATAAGCGCTCTTCAAATTAAACTAGAAAATAAATTAATTCGGATCGATTAACAACACATGTACTACGCCCTAATATTTGCAACGATCTAATAAAATCAATCGAAAAAAAACTGTTTAAGTTTGAGCACAATGCATTAAAATCATTCAGTTGATCTAAAAATGATTGAATGAAGAGCCGAACTCAATCAAAATAAAACAGGATAGGCGGTTGCTGAGCAATTAGCACAAAAATTTTTCAAGGTTAACTCAGTAATCGATCAGCAGAAAAGCATGGCCCTGAAGTTTTCGAAACTTCTAAAGCTTTTAACAGCGTAACGAGAACTCAATTAAAAGTTCCAGTTTTTAAATTGTAAGAGACATACTTTTCAAATAATTCATGAATAAAAAAAACCTTGCAATATCAAACAATCTATACTAAATTATTCTTTTCTGTAGTAGAAGAGCCAAAGTTCTTATAAGCGGCGCGACCTGAGAAACCTGAATAATTCGAACACATTGAGATGAAATGAAAATTTAAGCAAGATTTTAAGACAAAAGTTCCAACAGGCAAAATGTTTGATGTACATAGCAAAGAAAATGTTAGATGTAAAAAAATGAAGAGGCTCTAGAATTGCACAAGCAGAACAAAAGCTATGCGCATATGTATTTTCTGCTTCAGTGTCAATTTTAGTGTTAATCAAGAATGTAGTTTTTGTTTGTTCACAAGAGATTAGTGATCGATAAAATAATATTGATATTTATTTTGTGGCTCTACGTTATTCTCAAGTCATGAGGACAAGATTTTTTTTAAGTCGCACCGCCAGTCTTTCCTGGGTTGCGCCGCCCGTATTTTATTAAGTAGCGCAGCAAAAATTCTATCTCGAGTCGGGCCGCCAAAGACTTTCGGTCGGCGATGGCAAGATTTAAGCAGGAACTCTGGTGCGCGACTTTAGAAAAGTCTGGCAGCGCAACCTAAGAAAAAACTGGTGGTGTTATCAAGAAAACAAGTGGCCGCGTTAATATAGAAAAAACAGCGGCGCATTTCAAATTTTTTTGGCGCGTTTCAAGAAAATACTTGGCACTTGGTTGCGTCGCGCCGGTCGCAATTGTTTTGTTTTGAGATCTCGCTGGTCGCAGTGATGGTTTCAGTCTCACCGGTATTGAAAAATTACCGAGAATTGCCATGTTCGGTCTCGCTGCTAAGAAACTACTAGCTCTGAGTCGCGCCGGTCTTTTCTCAAATCATGGAGTTCGACCCTGTTCACTAAAGCCTAATAAAAGAGTAAATCATTGGTTGAAACAGCAACTAAGCCCTTAGCAAACAAGTCAATCGAAAATCAATTGTCTAAAAGCCGAAGCTGTCTTATTACGTGGCCAAACTGTGTATTTTGTGAAGTGTAAGCTAATTCCTTAACAGGCTGAAAACAGATTTGTTGTAGATTTCGCAATATTGCTGCTTTTGTTTGATATACTTTGCTGTTTTGCATTCCACAAAAATTAGCTAAAACACTGTATCGCTTAAAGTTGATCCAAAACCGTGTTAAAAGCAGAAATTGTCTGGAGAAAAAAAAACAAAAAAAACCAGCCCGAGCGTAAATGTTCCGTTACTTTCGCTTATAGTTTCGATACGGTAGAGGAATAAACAATCATAAAAAATCTGTTTAAAAAATTATTTCTTCTTTTTTCAAAACATACATTAGCTTCAAATTGATAAATTTCAGGGTCTGAAATTGGTTTAATTTGCATCTATTTAAACTTTTATTTGGTGATCATTAGCGTGATTAAAATTAAACTAGAAAAAAAATTAATTCGGATCAATTAACTACATGAACTACGCCCTAATATTTGCAACGATCTAATGAAATCAATCGAAAAAAAAACTGTTTAAGCTTGAGCACAATGCATTAAAATCTTTCAGTTGATTTAAAAATGGTTGAATAAAAAGCCGAACTTACTCAAAATAAAACAGAATAGGCGGTTGCTGAGCAATTAGCAAAAAAAAACCCCGAACATTAAAAAAAAAATTTTTTTTTTAAAGTTAAATAGTTTTTGTTCGTGAAGTGATGAGAGGATCTGAACGAAAGTCAACAGTTTTGATGGCAATAGTGCATAAAGTAAATTTGTTTGCAAATTTCTTCCCAGTAGAAATAAAAGACTGCAGAAAAATATTTTTTTTTCTCGAAATTATTTCTTCAAAGTTTTAGCGAACATTTTTGATTTTCAAAAATTTTGTTCACAAAAAATTGCTAAAAATTTTTGATAAATCATTTTACTGGATTACACCTAAATTTTAAAAGACGACTATAAAAAAACACGACTATTAAAAGACGACTATTAAAAGACGACTAATAAAAGCTTTCAATAAGCACATTTTGGGTAAATCATGCTCATTTTGCGACGACTATTAAAAGTTTTCAATAAGCACATTTTGAGTGAATCATGCTCACTTTACTAGCTTGAAATAAGATTAAGAATGAAAACCATCAAACTGATGTTTCTCGACCCTGAAAAAAAGTCTTGTCAAACAACCTTTTTTGTAAATTTTTCAAAGTCGTTCGAATCGTGACTGCAAGAGTCTTTGTATGATATATCACTTGAACACTTAAGACAATTGATTGTGATACCTAACTTTGCGTTAAAAAACAAAAAGTAGAAATAACTATAAGACACCCAAATACACAATTCTTACCAATTTCAGGGGTCGGAACAAAAAAAAACAGTGTGTAAAAACTACCTCATTTTCTTTGAATCTTCTAAACAAAAAACATTCAAAGCAAATACTTTTATATACTTATTTTTGGATCTTTTCCTTCCTCCCACCCTCCAAATGTTCTATTTGATTGTTGTTTCACGTGTAATTACGTTTTTCTGTTGTTTACTGTTGTTTTATTGTGTAAAT